GCTGAGCCCGGGCTCTGACAATGGCGGCGTTGGCAGAGATGCCAGTGTCCAGCTCCGATCCACTTCAAACCACAGCGCTTTTTTAAAATTTCGACGTTTATTTTACCAAACAAAAGAGAGAGAAACAATAAGCAGTTATACCAACTTACAATTTATTTTTTTTTTTAAAAAAATGACATGAAACACAAGTAAAAATAAATACATCATATAAACAACAAATTGTTCAAAGTCTCTGTTCTGGGAGATCAGGCGAGCGCATCCCGTTGGACAGAGAGAAGAGGGAAGCACATGATCATGCGTGGGGCCAACCGACCGACCCACCCTGCTAGTGATACTCCTCTTTCCAACCACAAAAAGACAGGCCACAAACTAAGGCGGTAGTAAAAACAGGAAAAAAAAAAAAAGAACAACCCCAAAACAACAGAAAACCCAAAATGAGACTCGGCAATGGATTCCTTCAGGCTCCCGCGGATCTGCCAGACTCCAGGTCCGAGCTGGGTGCCATGAAGCAGGAGCACGGCGGCGGGCGGTGGTCCGAGAGGCGGCAGAGGTTGTTGCTCTCCCTCACTCGCACCCTCGTCCCTTCGAAGGGACGTCCCTCGCTTGCTCCGAGTTCCAAGGAGCCATCATCTCACCGTCATCTAGCTGGACTACGTTCCCCTTTTAACCTCTGCCCCCCGCCCCAGCCCTCCCTCCCCGGCCCTTCCAAGACTGGATTAACAAAATTCATCCCGGAGCGGTGAGAAACTCCAGTTGTGAAGGTATTTGCTGTACTCGTCCCTTCTGGCCTGGAAGCCGTCCACAAACCAACAGCAATTCTCTCGCATTCAGCCATTTGCTGACATCATTAAGCCAAAATATACATCGTTTAGTGAAGCCTCTGTGGAAATCCCATCCTTTGCTTGCCAGAATATTCACTTTCTGTGAGTTCCTGCATCCCCTCACCCCAGGCGCTCCGGTGTGCCCACGCACAGCAGATCCTGTCCAACACAGGCCAGGCTGGGCTGTTGCCCCCACCCTGCAGCCCCCCATGACACCCCGAGAGCTGCAGCGGTGGGGAGGCAACAAGAACATCAAGACCGGGGCATGGAGCAGCCACAGTCCTCCCTGTGCCCGTGGCATCACATCCCGCAGCGGTACCCAGCCTTCACCTGCTGTCCCCGGGAGCAGGAGCCTCCTGCCTTAGGGCAGGCTGAGGGCTGGGGGCCG